CGCTCCGAACCCGAACGCAACCTAGACGTCAGGTTCGACCCTAATTAGCCTTCCTCCCCCACATCCGGTCCCTCACCAGCACCGCTTTCTTCCACCTCCGACACATCGCCCGTCTCCACCAATACTTCTCTCCGAAATCCGCTGAAACCCTGGTCCATGCCTTTGTCACCTCTCGGCTGGACTATTCAAACACCCTCCTTGCCCGTCTCCCCTCCACTACCATCCATAAAATCCAGGTCATCCAAAACTCTGCACCCCGGATTCTCACCCGCACCAAACTCCGCTCCCCGATCACCCCAGTCCTTGCCAGACTGCACTGGCTGCCTGTTCCAGAGAGGATCGACTTCAAGATCCTCACCCTTGTTTTCTGCACCTCCCTACGTTTCTGACCTCTCTCCTCAAAACAGTGCCCGTTGCCTTCGTTCCTCTGGGTCTGGCCTCCTCCTTGTCCCCCAAGTCCTCCGCTCTACCCTCGGCGGCCGTGCCTTCAGCCACTATGCCCCGAGGCTCTGGAACTCCCTTCCTCACTCCCTTTGTCTCGCCCCCTCTCTTCCTATTTTCAGGTCTCTGCTGAAGACCTTTCCTTTTGACCGTGCCTTTCGCCACCTTCCTCCCCCTCTCCCTGGCTCGGCCCCGGGATCTGTTACTGTGAAGCGCTCTGAGACGCCGTCCAGGTGAAGGGCACTGTATAAATCCAAGTTGTTGTTGTTGTGGGAGGTGGTGAGGAAAATCTGCATAGACTGGAACTTTATCTGAGTAGGCATGCCAGGGAGGTCCAAACTAGTCCAATGCATTCTTAATGTTTCACCAGCTAGACTCGTTTATCAAACAGTCTTGCCGATACAAATGTGTCTGCAGCCTTCAAATTGGACAGGGTGGTTTTAACCAGAGAAGCACTATGTACTGACCAATTTTATAAGTGCTGATGCTTACTTGGAGCAAAGTTGGAATTGAGCCTAATGGCAAGCTGCTCCCAGACATATCATGAATAATTGCTGCTTAAAAATGTCTTAAAAAAAGGCACAGGATTGATTTCCTTTCACATTAACATGATAATTGACACCCTGCAATCATTGTTTTACATAATTTAAATTTTATACTGAATGTGGACTATTTGGTAATGTTTTCACTTGTATTTTTTTACTTATTATCGGGGATGTATTTTAATCCCATTTCAGACATCAAGCACTACCAGAACAGAAATCAGACAAGCAGCTGCAGGAAAAAAAAACCTTCTGTTTTCTCCAGCCTCAGAAAAGGGCTTCCTTCCTGCACTAGCGTGACATTTACATTTCCTACGTCAGCTATCTTCATGACCTCTCTAAATGAGGTTGCTAATTTAGTGTCAAATTGCAGGGCACAAGATGCTGGGAGAGGAATTTTAAAACTCACTTCAGTTATGTCCTTTATAGTGATCTGACAGAGGAGACTTTCATGCTCACCATCCAGGCTGGAGTTAAACAACGCTCAATTGGGTGAAAGATCAAAGTTCTAACACATTGTGCTACTGTACCCAACACTGTACTTTCAACACAGACACAGATCACTTTGTTGAATCTGTACTGATGAATTTGACATTTTCAGTTTTTGCTACAGTATTTCCATGCCAAGATATTTTGCAATTATGAATAGGAAATAGCAAAATTTCATGGATTTTTTCTTGTCGGCTAGGAAACCCATCACCAAGCGGAAATCCATTATCATGCTTAAGAATATTCAAACTAGAATGAGAGTTCTACATATTTATGCCACCTACACATGGAAACTTTCCTGTGTCTGGAATAGAATGTATAGTCTCTCTCCAGACAGGACGCACCCTGCACATTTAATTGTACGTGATTAGACGCAAGCTCATGAGAGCCAAGGCTTGAAAATCCTAGCGTGTGCATTAAGGTACTGGAGTTTAACCAATTAAACCCATATAACTTGTTATTGAAAATCCCGTGTAGCAAACTTCACTAACCCTAACCCCTACCCTCTTTCTGCTCATAGTTAATGAACCTAGCTGGCTGGCGTGTCAACAACAGTGCCTTGGAGAAATGTGGCATTGACCCTTGGAATACTTTCCACATAACCTTGGTTTTGCTGCCATGAGTTTGTTCATGAGTTTAAGATATTAAGATATTGTTCTATTTTATGATGTTCTTCAAAATTCTCCATCTTTCTTTTCCTTATAGTAGAATTGCTATAGAGGAAATTTTGTTTGACCACATGTCTCTTCCTCTTTGAATCTGCTGTTGAATCACCTGAATTCCAACCCCCTTGAATGTCAACTCTTCAAACCTGAACTAGTGAATTCTAACCGACTTAATGGTCAGATTTCTCCATTTATATACCTGTTGGTATATACCTTTCTCACTGAGTGAGGAAAAACTTCTTCACTCAGAAGGTAGTGAATTTATGGAATTCTATACCCCGAAGGGCTGTAGATGTTCAGTCCTTGAACAATTCAAGACTGAGATTGATAGATTTCTTGTGGATAAAGGGATTAAGGGACATGGGGATAAAGCAGGTAGGTGGAGTTAGAATAGATCAGTCATGATCTTATCGAATGGCGATGCAGGCTAGAGGGGCCGAATGGCCTTATCCTGTTCCTAATTCTTATGTTCTTATGGTATGTTGCAGGGTCCTCCTATTTTGGGTGGGAATGGCTGAGATGGATATATTAAATTCCAAACATTTGTCTCCTTTTTCTTAAGCAGATGTTGTTTTCTTCTCAATCATTCTGAGCCAATCACCTTTGAGATGATTTTTAACCACTTTTAACCAGGAATTTGGAGATATGATCTGGCGCTTATTCTCCCCAGCTTGAAGTATCTGCATGAAAACTCCCCTTCAGTCTGCTACCTCCAAAAAGGCATACCACCACCCCCCCCCCATGTTGCTGAAAGAGACATTATTGCCCTTGTATGGATGTCCCATTGGTGATTTATTTTAGATCTGGTAGAACAAAGGCTTTTTGGTTCATCTCCCCACAAGCATTTGGTACCTTGACCAAAATTAACCCTTTTATACAGCTTGAATTGAGCCATTGATTGAAGTGGCATTTTTCCTAAAAAATCTTAAATACAGCAGCTATAATTAAAGTATTAAAGACAAAGTTGGGATGCACAATAAATAACAGAACTACCCACACTGAGAAACAACGACAGCCAGATTACATCTATCTGTATAGCACCTTTCATGTCAGGAGGACGTCCCAAGGCGCTGGACAGTGTACAGTATTTCAGACCCGAGCTGGGGTCAGGGAGGGAGAAGGGAGGGGAGGGGAAAGGGGGTGACCAATGGCATGGTCGAAGAGGAGGGTTTTGAGGTGGGACTTGAAGGAGGCTAAGGAGGGGGTGAGGCGGAGTGACTGGAGGATGGAATTTCAGCCGTTGGGGGCAGAGTGGCTGAAGGCTCTCCCGCCAATGGTGGGGTGGGTAGATCGGAGGACATGAAGCAGGCTGGAGCCGGCTGAGCGGAGGAAGCAGGCGGGTTGCTGGGCGATTAGGAGGTCGCAGAGGTAGGGGTGGGGTGAGGCTATGGAGGGCTTTGTAGGTGAGGAGCAGGATCTTGAACTGGATCCTCTGAACGATAGGGAGCCAATGGAGTCGGGCGAGAATGGGGGAGATGTGGTCACCGAGTTTGGTGCGGGAGAGGACACGGGCTGCAGAGTTCTGGATTATCTGCAGCCTGTGGAGGGAGGACTTGGGAAGGCCGACAAGAGGGCATTTGCATAGTCGAGCCTGGAGGTGATGAAGGCACGAACAAGAGTTTCAGTGGCTTGAGGGGTGAGGTAGTGGCGGATTCGGGCGATGTTACGGAGGTGAGGGAACGCAGAGCGGGTCATGGCTTGGATGTGGGGAAGAAAAGACAGTTGAAGGTCGAACAAGACACCTAGGTTCCTGACTGGCTTGGTAAGTTGTAGTGTGCAGCCATGGAGAAAGGATCAATAGAGCATCACAAAACCACTTAATGAGGAAGCATCTCTCCTGCACATACACAGCATTAGACACAACAACTTCGACAACTATAATTTGGATTTATATACTGTCTTTCACAAAGGGTAGCATCCCCGAGCTTTTCACAGTGGCGGAGTTTGACACTGAGTCAGGTGGAGAGGGAAGGTGGAGAAGACACGATTAAAAAGGAAGGTTTTTAGGCGGGATTTGAAGGTGGGGAGGGAGAAGGCAAGGCGGAGGGATTGAGGGAGAGAGTTCCAGAGTGTCGGGGCATAGTGGCTAAAGGCACGGCCACCAATGGTAGAGCGGAGGGTATGAGGGACAAACAGGAGCAGAGGCAGCTGGTGGTGGAGTAGGGGGTAAGCAGATTGGATAGGTAGGGAGGTGCCAGTGCATGAAGGGATTTGAAAATGAGTGAGAGGATCCTGAAATCAATCCGTTCAGTAATTGTGAGCCAGTGAAGCCTGGCAAGGACTGGTGTGATAGGCGTACAGAGTTTTGTGCACGTTAATATCCAGCACAGACAAGCAGTGAGAAGCAACCTTATGGAATTCAATAAAATTTGACAGCTACACTGAGATGCCCTTGCCCTCAGCCAAACAGTGAGAGCCCCAAAGCTTCCACAGCATGATGCATGATCCATGCTAGCAAATGTAGCTCACTTTAATTCAATCTCTGAAATGGGAGGAGTGAGGCAAGTTTAATATTTGAGATTCAACCTTACACCCTCAAAACATCGAGGTAATAGCATTTCTGACGGTTGAGTTGCCTGCACCATAGGCTTGGGAAGAAAATAATTGCATGATTGAAAAAAGGTACGGCGAGCACATTTGACAATAGAGACAATTATTTAACCTTTCAACACAAACGCAAACAAAGCACCAACATTTGTGCTCTGCAACCACAAATACTAAATGGTAAGTATGTCTTATGCCATTAAGTTGTTTGATTTACTATTCCGGATGACAATTACATGAAAAGTCTCAACATAACAGACTCAACATTAAATCCGGATGAGTGTTGAAGCACAATGAGTTTTCTCAGGGAGATACTTACAAAATGACAGTCAGTTGGCTTGCCGTTCATGTCGGTAGCTGGTGGTGACAACAATTGCCAATCACGACCCTTGTTATAGGTGATGTAGGTCTTCACTTTACCATTCACTTTCTTATTAGCTAAGAAAACACCTTTCACTCCTCGTACCTTCAACATGTGTGGGGAAAGAAAAGGGGAAAAATAAGTCAATTAAAAAATATATAAATGTTTGAAATTATTTTTGGAATGCAACATTTGTACAGCACTTTTCACATCGGGAGGACATCCCAAGGCGCCTTACAATACATAAATCGTAATGAGATTCACCAGAATAATAAAATGCTAATCATCCTTGCATTTCATATAATGCTTCATCACGTCAACAATATGTCTCAAAACATGTTACAGAAATTGTTCAGTATTGACTGTATTTGTAGATGAAGTTGTGCACAGCAACTTAACCTACAAACAACAGATAACCAGGAAGTGAATGCTCAATTTATCTATAGGATTGTTTATTGCATAGGAACAGCAGGAGAAACTCTCTTCTCTTTTCAAATAATGTCATGAAATCTTTAAGGTACACTTGAACCGGCAGATGGGACCTATTTTAACACCTCTTCTGAACTTTGACACATCTGACAATGCAATGGTTCCCCAGCACTGCATTCTATAATATGTTATAATATATATAATATAATATATATATAATAATAATATATATAATGTAATGTTAATCTATACTACAAGCTCAAAATCGTGATTCAGGGCTTGAACCCATGACCATATTATTAATATCTTTTTTTATATTACCTTGTATCCCATCTGAACTTCTAAGTGTTTCACGGGTAATTACTGTCAAGTGACTGTGCTTGTAGGTAAATGCAGAAGGCAGCAATGTACCAGTACTCCGTCAGTGGGTCAAATTAAACACTCAGCCCCAATGGGGGACTTGAACGCATAACTTTCTGACCCAGAGTGCAGTTGATGCCATCTAAGCCAAGCTAAAACTTGCAGAACTTAACTCATTTGTATGATTTTTTGGTTTGGCCTAAATTTGCACATTTCCCATAAAATTTCCGCCAGCCTAAAATATCAAGATTAATTAATTTACGGTCAGAGTAATGAAATCAGTTTTCAGATCCTGTCCAACAAAATTGCCAGCACCTCAAACAAAACCGAAGCAGCTATTAAGAAATTGGATTGAGCAGACTGAATTGTGAAAATCTATTAAGAGGTGATAGATGAAAGACATGCATTAGAAAGCACTATTTCAATGTAATTTGTGCCTTCACTGGGTAATGGGCTCTTCAGTAACAGATTGCTTTGCTAATTGCAACATACAGCTCCATTCATCCCAATAGGAAGATACAATCTAAATATAAGGCTAATGTTGGTTTTCTTTGTTATTTCACAGCCTTCATTAATATTCGAGGGCATCAAAATCCCAGTGGTGTGAGCTTAAAAAAATCAGAAATAAATTGTAGTTCCAAACATTTCTTTTAATTATCTCATTCTCTCTTTAATCTTCCTGAAACATGCACCATTCCTCTGACAAGAAAAAGGACCAGCCTCAGGCTCCAGTTAACTGTGTTACAATTGATTTATACTAGGAACAGCTCTCAGTTAGCTGTTAGAACCAGTGTCACAAAGGACTTGAAATGCCCTTACAAAGGTAGGAGGATAGGAGATCGCAATCTCATGGGTAGACAACTATGGAACGCAGGACATTTGGAAGGTTTGGTGCAAGATTCAGCTCATGTCAAGAGGAAACTGGACTAACTCAGTAAAGTCTATGCTCCAATGGAGGGACAAACAGACAAGACAGATGCTTCTCAACAAAATACAAAATACTGCAGATTCTGGAAATCTGAAGCAAAAACAGAAACAGATGCTGCTGTTGGGAAAGACAACTGACAATTGGATCACCAAACCGACTCAACCAGAAGGATTCAAAAGACAGGCAGCCTTTAAAACCTTCTGCCCAGGAAGTGCATGCTTTCAACCTGCTCAATGATAATTATCATTGGAGTTCTAACAAAACTTCATCAAATCTTTGCTGATGGTAAAGGGTACAATGTGAACAGAACATTGATGCTTGAAAAGGGCTTTCAGAATGGGCAAAGGTGTGTATAATGTGACCTAGCAGCTTAATAATAAGAGCTAACAAGCAGTCCCAAATTTGAGTCCAGCCCTGCCTAGGTGTCATAATGCACCTGAGTTTCCTCTTTCAACCAAATATAGAGGGCAGAAGGTCTGCTCACTAATGCTTTGTGGCTTAATGTACATTCTTCTGTGTGGCTGACATAATACATTCTGTCTGAAAACGTGAGAAACTCACTGTTCAATGTTGCGTTCAAATGATAGCCAGAGATTGACAGATTAACAGAGCTATAGGCCAACCTGAAATATGAAAAATTAAGTCACTAATACCAATTGCAATTTGCTGCTGTGATGATATGTGATAATACATTCACTTTACAGTATATTCTGTGAAGTGCTTTGAGATGACTCAAAGACGTGATAAGGCGCTATATCAAATGCAAGGATTATTATTATAATATCCCACCCCAGCAAAAATTCTCTTGTAGCATCCTGTAGAGGATTTAGTTGAAAAGTGAAGTCTTTCAGACTGCAAAACAGCAGTATCACATAAAAGAGATGAATGAAATATTTTCCGAGCAAAGTCCAGTCTACACAATTAAGAAAGAGAAGAAGATTTGTTGCTTCGTCAGAGGATAAAAGACTCTCCACGGTGACAATAGACAAACCTCAATTACTTTACGATGTTCTATCCCAATAGTTCATAGTCATGGAAATCTAGTTTGTCTGTTCATATCAAATTCAAACAATTAATTCCAGTGGCGTTTTAAAATCAGACTTCCTACTGCTGTTTCTCAATAAATTAATTCAGGCAGCCCTTTGAGACTGAAATAAACAACTGAGTATCTAGGTTTATACTGCTCCTACTGTAGAATATCGCTTTGGTGTCCTTGGCAGAATTCCACACCACAAATCTACAAACAACAACAACAACAACAACAAGATTCCATTTATAAAGCGCCTTTCACGTCAGGAGGACGTCCCAAGGCGCTGCACATTTGGGTCATGACCCGAGCAGGGGGGAAATGGTCAGGGTGAGGGGAGGGAGGGAGCGAGGAGGGGGGAAATGGTCAGGGTGAGGGGAGGGAAGGGAGGGAGCGAGGAGGGGGTAGAGAGTCGAGAGGGGAGCTGAAGGCACGGTCAAAGAGAAAGGTTTTGAGACCGGCCTTGAAGGAGGAAAGGGAGGAAGCGGCGAAGGCACTGGGGGATGGAGTTCCAGAGCCTCGGGGCTGAGAGGCTGAAGGCCCGACCACCGATGGTAGGGCGGTTGGGGCGGGGGACGTGGAGCAGACCGGAGCCAGAGGAACGGAGGGTACGGGCAGGTAGGTAGGGGGATAGTAGGTTGGAGAGGTAGGAGGGAGCAAGGCCGTGAATGGCCTTGTAGGTGAGGATGAGGATCTTGAAATCAATCCTCTGGGGGATGGGGAGCCAGTGGAGGCGAGCGAGGGTGGGAGTGATGTGGTCGCGAAGCCTGGTGCGGGACAGTACACGAGCTGCAGAGTTCTGAATGACCTGCAGCTTGTGGAGGGAGGTGGCGGGAAGGCCGGCGAGGAGAGAGTTCCCATAGTCCAGCCTTGAGGTGACAAAGGCGTGAACCAGGGTTTCAGCAGCGTGAGGGGTGAGGTAATGCCGTAGTCTGGCGATGTTCCGGAGGTGATGGAAGGCGGTGCCAGTTGTGGTGCGGATGTGAGGGAGAAAGGACAGCTCAGGGTCGAACAAAACGCCGAGGTTCCTGACTGGCTTTGAGAGGTGGAGAGTGCAGCCTTGGATGCTGATGGTGTCAGCGCCTGAGGTGCGGAGGCGCTGACGTGAGCCAATCAGGAGGGCCTCGGTTTTTCGCACGTTGAGCTGAAGAAAGTTGTCTCTCGTCCAGGACTCGATGTCGGACAGGCAGGCTGTCAGGACATCGGTGGTCGTGGAGTTGAGAGTAGAGGAGGAAAGGTAGAGTTGGGTGTCATCCGCATACATGTGGAAGTTAACTCCATGTCTGCGGATGATGTCACCGAGGGGAGCATATAGAGGGTGAAGAGGAGGGGACCGAGGACAGAGCCCTGAGGGACACCACATGAGACAGTACGGGGGGTGGAGGAGAAGCCATTCGTCGAGACAAAGTGAAGACGGTGAGAAAGGTACGACCTAAACCATTCAAGGACAGTGCCTTGAAGGTTGAGGTGGGAGGACAAGCGGTGGAGTAGGATAGCGTGGTCGACCGTATCGAATGCTGCCGATAGGTCGAGGAGGACGAGGAGACAGAGGGAGCCCTGGTCACAGATGGTCAGGATATCATTGGTGACCTTGACCAGGGCAGTTTCTGTGCTATGGGCAGCACGGAAACCTGACTGAAGGGGTTCGAAAAGAGAATGGGTGGAAAGGAAAGAGCGCAGTTGGGAGGCGACAACTCTTTCCAAGACCTTGGAGAGAAAGGGGAGGTTGGAGATGGGCCGGTAGCTTGATAGCTGCGACGCATCAAGGGAGGGTTTTTTCAGGGTGGGCGTGATGATGGCAGTTTTTAATGGAATGGGGACAGAGCCAGAGGAGAGGGACAGGTTGATGATGTCAGTGATATGTGGGGCAAGAAAGTGGAGCTGGGAGATAAGGAGTGGAGTGGGGATGGGGTCAAGGGAGCAGGTGGTTGGTTTTAGGGATAGGATGAGTTCAGTGACAGAGGGTGGGGAAACGGGTACGAAGGTGTGTAGGGGAGGATGGGTAGGAGTCGGAGTGTGGGAGGGAAGGGGTGGGTGGTGGGTGGAAGTTGGAGGGGAAGTGACCGCGGAGCGGATTCCCTTGATCTTGGATTCAAGGAAATCCAGCATCTCCTCGCAGTGAAGGTTGGAGGAGATGACCTGCGCGGGGTGGCGGGGGGGACGGAGGAGTCGGGTTGTGGTGGAAAACAGTAGCCTGGGGTTGTTCTTCGCCTCCAGGATTATCCTGGAGTAGAAGGACGACTTGGCCGAGGCTAGAGTGGAGCGGTAAATTTTGAGGAGGTCCAGCCAGATTTGTCGGTGGACCGTTAGGCCAGATTTGACAAAGGTGCGCTCAGCAGCCCGCACCTGGCTTTTCAGTGA